AGGCAGTTAAAGAATTAAATATCAAGACAAAAAACTGGAAGGAACTTCTCACTGATGAACCATTTAGTAGGCAGGACATTATAACCATTCAGGTAAAAGGGTTCCAGAGTTTGTCCATTTTCAACTGTTTCTAAACCTGATAGTCAATTTTGTTTTTATTTGCAGAACCCTACTGCGTTTGATAGTAAGGTTCTCCTGGATTTTGATCATGTGAAGAATAGCCTGAAAGTTGATGATGAAGGTGAGCTATAGATCTTTTTCCTTTTTTTTGGGGGGGGGGGGGGGGGGGGCGGTTAATCCCATCATGCCTCTGCACCTTGACTCTATTTATTAACTTCCATTTTCCCCAGAACTTCAGAAAATGAAATCAGATCCAACATATTTCATAAATGTGTCGGGCGACATCAAGCAGATGCTGCAGGAACTTGGAACCGAAAAAGGAAGGCAAACTGCACTTCATGGCGGAGGTGGTGGCAAGGCACAGAAAGAAAGGGAGGCTGCACTTGCTGCAATTTTAGCTGCTAGGTCACGCATTAAAGAGGACTCCAAGGAGAATGCAAAAGGAGAGGAGAAACCTACTCAGGCATTTAGTATTGTGGATGCTGCATCTGCCTCGGTACATGGTAGAAGTGCTGCTGCTGCGAAAGCTGCACCAAGTGAAAAAACTGCTGCTCGAATTGCGATGCACATGGCGGGTGAGAGGGCACCAGTGAATGCTAAGATGGTTAGTTATTAACAACTATTTATTTTTTACATCCATCCCTTCATAGTCATAATTCATTACATGCTTTTTCAATGAGGAAACTGAATCTTCTTATCCAATAATGTGATTAAATTAGAATTCAAGTACTTATATTGAAGAGAAGGCTAGTACTCTTGGTATACTGGTTTTTATAATATTTTTTGGCATCTAAATGATATATTAACATAAGTTGTTATTACAGGTAAAGAGTCGTTACACTACTGGTGCTGCGTCCCGATCCTTCACATCTACAGCTTATGATCCAGTTACAAAGAATGAACATGAATATATCAAGGTTGAGAAAAATCCGAAGAAGAAAGGATACGTACAGTTGCATACAACACATGGAGATTTGAATATTGAACTGCATTGTGATATTACTCCGAGGGCATGTGAGAATTTCATCACGCTTTGTGAAAATGGCTACTACAATGGAGTTGCTTTTCATAGAAGTATTAGGTACGATGGTACTGCAGACTGCAGTTGAGTAATGATAATCTGATTATTTGGCGTATTTACATGTTGAAGATGTGATAATGTAGGAATTTCATGATTCAAGGTGGTGATCCAACTGGTACTGGGAGAGGAGGGGATTCTATATGGGGAAAGCCCTTCAACGATGAACTGAACTCTAAGTTGCTTCATTCTGGAAGGGGTATTGTCAGTATGGCAAATAGTGGCCCCCACACTAATGGTTCCCAGTTCTTTATTCTTTACAAATCTGCTAATCACTTAAACTTCAAGCATACTGTATTTGGCGGTGTTGTTGGTGGGTTGACTGCTTTGGCAGCCATGGAAAAGGTTCCTGTTGATGACAATGATCGGCCTCTGGTCAGTTCTATATTAATCTTCGTAATTTTAAACCTTTCGCTTTCAGAGGTCCCATGATTTCCAGTACTCGCCCCTGTCGTTGGATGTGTTTATTATGAAGGATCCTCCAATTTAAAGTTAACATGTGTGTGTTTATGAGTGATGAGCATGCTAAGAAATACAACGATTGAGCATGTTAATTTGTTACTTTCCACTGTTTTGGACATTACTGTCCCCCTAGATATTTCAAAGTTACATCTTACCGTGATTAACCCAATGCCCAACACATCCTATCTTGTGTAGGAGGAGATCAAGATAACAAGCGTCACAGTTTTTGTCAATCCATACTCAGAACCCGATGAAGAAGAGGAAGAAAAGCAAAAAGACGAGAAAAATGTGGAGGATGAGGAAAACGTTTGCCTCCACAACCCATTGACCTTTGCTTATACTATTTACATCTGCATTATTTGAGTAACTCTTTTGATGGGCTCAGACCTCAGATGAGTATCTTTGATTTCATTTCAGGATAAGGTTGGATCGTGGTATAGTAATCCAGGCACCGGGGTAGCTGAATATGGAGCTGCTGGTGGTGGTGGTGTAGGGAAATATTTAAAAGCAAGGAATGCCCAATCCAAATCCCCTGCTGTTGATGCTGGTGTAAGACAAACTACTTCAACCAAAAAAAGGACAGCTGCTGGAGAATTCAAAGACTTCTCTTCGTGGTAAGAGTTCCCATGTATGCAATAGATATAGGTCCTTTCAGCTAGCCCCTAAGTTACTGGTTTCTTGTGGTGTTTAAATCATACGAGTCATTGAAAAGTGGGGGAGCGTGCAAAAGAAAGGGTGCATTTGACCCAGTTAGTATTGGAATGCATTACTGACGACAAAAGTTCATTTCACAAACTCTTGGAGTTGTTGATTATGCCCAAGAAGAACTCCCCACCTGCCCCAAAACCCAAAGGGAGAGAGAGAGAGAGAGCAAAGAAAAAAGAAAAAAGAAAAATGAAAGTGGGAAAAGCAGTATTCAGATATGAATCCTCTTTATCCGACAGTGTGCTGTAAAAATGAATTGGCAGATGCAAGAACTGCTCTTCTTCCAATATTGTTTATTTTCTAAAGCTGATTCTGTTGTTCAATGTATGAGCTTGAAAGTAAAGAGGGATCTGCCAAAAAATGGCGTGTCTGCTGTGAGTTAGTGAAGGAGGGGCACCCAAAACTTCAACGATTAGTCATGTTTGGATGGATGGATGGATGGATGGATGGGTACATTTCCAAGTAGAGCTCTTCTACTTCCACTGTATGTATCTTACTTTGCTCATTTACTGTCGCTGATTGCTTTCAAGTATCAACCTTATCCCACACAGATAGAGCTATTTTGAAGTCACTTGTAGAAGTTTTTACTCTGTTCTTCGCCGTTGGCACCAGATACGACTATTCCTCACCTCAAATTACTCATGTTCAGTCTTCCCAATTTATTGATTGAGAGAATTAATTTCTATGTTTATGCATTATTTTTTTTCATTCATTGAGAGAATTACATTTTAGTCCTAAGTCGTCTTCCAATATAGTTTCTATTTGTTTTTATTCTTTACGTTTCGAGTTTTATTTCTATTTGATTCATTAGTTTCAAAATATTACATTTTTACTTTGAATTTTAAATTTAGTTTTTTTATTTGGTCTATGGGTTTCAAAATTTTTCTCTTTTATTTTTTAATTTTACATTATTGCTTACTTTTGATCATTGGTGTTTCAATTTATTGATCTTTTAAAATTAATTTTAATATCTACGGAATTAATGAAAACTACTTTAATTTTTAAAACTAATTTTTAAAATTAACATAAACTAAATGGGTATTATTATACTGGAACCAAAAAGACTAGTTATTTTATTTCCTTTTTTTATTTATTTTTAATTTAAGAGAAAAATACGTAAAACACTTTTGGCTTCTATTGGGTTGTCGTTGGGACACCTTGAAAAAATTTGCACTTTAATTTATTAAAGAAATTAAAATTGAAGGTAAGGATGAAAGAGCTTTTGACTGCAAAATATTATAAAATTAAAGTGACAGCGATGGTTTGTTAAACATATCAATTATATGTATTTATAAGTTCAATTAGTTTCACCAATGGAGTAAGCAAAATGCTAATTAAGTGATAATAGCAATTAAGTATTGGTCAACGAATGACATACAATTAGTAGTCCTTAATCAATTTTATATCATGTATTATTGATGATTAAATTACAAAATGAANTTTCCAAAGATTTTTTTTTTTTTTTTTTTTTTTTTTTTTTTTTTTTTTGAGGAAATGCAGTGAGATTTGTTGATTTTGGTTTAATTATTTATAATGTGGACAATAATGCATTGGGTGACATCCAATCCATAAGCATTCCAAAATAATTTCAAGAAAGTTGTTGATTTTCTTACCTTACTTTTAATGTTTCTGTTGAGGTGCTTTAGTCCTTAATTTGGCTTAACTAATGCAATTGAAGTGAATTCTACTCATTATGCATTGTTTGTATTAAAGTTTACATTCTTTTTTTTTTTTTTTTTGGCAGGAGGAACGCTCTTAGATATACTTAGCGACAATAATTATGGATCTAACAAGATAAAATAGAAGTCTTAATAATTCCCACGATCTAACATTTTAATATAAAATTAATTTTTTTAGAAACTAAATAAAAACTTATTAACAAAACTTTAGAATTAAATGGAAGCAAAATCAAACAGTTTTCAAATGTTAGGGACCAAATATAAAACAAAAATGAAATCTTTTAAGGATAAAAGGTGTTGGTTTTGAAACCTTTAAGATGAAAAGGTGGGATAGTTGAAAATCATGCGTAAACACGCTTTGGCGATTCTCTCTCGTCTCACATGCACCTTAATAAAAGCATCTCCTTTATATAATATATATATATATATATATATATAAAAGAAAAAAAAAAGTAAAAAATATTATATTGAAACACATAAAAGATTGAGTCTGAAACAAAATTATAATGGAAGTAAAGTAATTGTAAGGGAAAAACCCCATAAAAAAAGAATGAGGATTAAATTCAAGAAATATATGATGCAAAGAAAGATAAATGACGTGAAAAAGGAGATGGAAATGATGGGGTGTGGTGGACAACATAACATAATTTCTAAAAATGGAGTGTTCACCCAATCATTCATCCACACAACAACGACACCAACAACCATTCTCACATAGAATGAACCATTCACTCACACCAATCTCCAATACATTCATATCTACAAATGGAGATTCCAACATAAAAACAAAAATGTCCTATAACCTAAACAGAATGACCATTTTTGTAGGTAAATGAAGCACAGAATATTTGAACTAAAAAAGGGAAGAAGAAGAAGAAGAAGAAGAAGAAGAAGAAGAAGAAGAAGAAGAAGAATGGTTTAGGGTATTTGGAGAAACAAGACTAAGTTGGGAAAGCATTCCCTAGAAAGTGGGGGAAGGGAAGGGAAGGGAAGGGAAGGGAAGGCAGAGAAATGGGAGTGTGTGGATTTGGTATATGTGGTATATGTCTATGATGGTGGTGGTGGGCTTGATGATGGTGATGCACGCCGGCAGCTTTACCTTACCAAACTCCAAATGGCACGCCTGCTGCCTCCACTCAAAACCCAACTTGTAATAATAATATTAACTCCTTTCTCTCTTATTCTTCTTCCTTCTCAAAAACAATGAAAACAAAAGCTAATCCTTTTTCTCACACTTTATCATCTTTTTGTCAGCCAACAATTCCATTTCTCATCTCTTCTTTTCTACACACAATCCCAACAATATGCTGAATATGGGTTTTTGATTTGAGATTAGCCCATAAAAAGAAGATCAGCTCCCACGCCTTGCTTTGAGACATCACACAAGTTTGAACCCTTCCTCCTCCTCATTCTTCTCTGTTAAACCAACTTGTTCTATGTCCAAAAAACTAGAGAGACTCCGAGTTTTTTGATGTGGGTCTTAAATGGATACCTTGTTTCGGCTTGTCAATCTCCAATCTGAGCAATCTTACAATTCCAGCAGGACCAATTCTAGCAGCTCTAGATCTTCCAGACAGAACCAATATCAGTACCATCAACAGGACGACGACCAAGAATGCTACAACCTTCTCATGGATGACGAAGATTTCTCATCCTCTAGTAATTCTAGACAATACTATAATCCATACCATCCACACCCACCTTCCACCGCCACTCCCACACCCATCGATCAATTCTCATACGTCTCCCCCTCTCCGGACATCAACTTCGAATTTTCCGGCAGGTGGGCTGTCGATATTCTCCTTGAGACGGCCAGGGCAATTTCTGACAGGAACAGCTCCCGCGTTCACCAACTCATGTGGATGCTAAACGAACTTAGCTCCCCCTATGGGGATACGGATCAAAAGCTGGCTGCCTATTTCCTGCAGGCCTTGTTTAGCCGCATGACAGATTCCGGCGACCGTAATTATTGCGCTTTGGCCTCTGCCTCAGAGAAAACATGCTCATTCGATTCAACTAGGAAAGTGATGCTCAAGTTTCAGGAGGTTAGCCCCTGGACCACTTTTGGGCATGTTTCTTGCAATGGCGCATTAATTGAGGCCTTAGAAGGCGAATCGAAGCTACACATAATCGATATCAGTAGCACGTATTGCACTCAGTGGCCTACTTTGCTAGAAGCTCTCGCGACTCGTACCGACGACACGCCGCACCTTCGTCTCACCACGATCATCACCACCAAACCAGGCACTGGTACCGGAATATCTGCATCTCAAAAAGTAATGAAGGAAATAGGTACGAGAATGGAAAAGTTCGCTAGGCTTATGGGCGTACCTTTCAAATTCAATGCGCTGTACCATTCCGGTGACCTTTCGGAATTGGACTTAGCCAAATTAGACATCAAAGAAGACGAGGCACTTGCCATCAACTGCGTCGGAGCCTTACGTTCCATTGCGGCGATTAACAACCGCCGAGATTTCTTGATTTCGTCTTTCCGCAGTTTACGCCCGCGGATAATCACAGTGATAGAAGAGGAAGCCGATCTCGACGTAGGCGTCGATGGGACTGACTTTCTGAGAGGTTTCCAAGAATGTTTGCGTTGGTTTAGGGTTTACTTCGAGACATTGGACGAAAGTTTCACGAGGACGAGCAACGAGCGGTTGATGCTCGAGAGAGCTGCCGGTAGGTCAATCGTGGACCTGGTGGCTTGCTCGGCGGCGGACTCGGTTGAGAGGCGGGAATCGGCGGTGAGGTGGGCTCAGCGGCTGCATGGAAACGGATTCGGACCGGTGACGTTCAGCGACGAAGTATGCGACGACGTCAGAGCGCTGTTGAGGAGATACAAGGAAGGTTGGGCAATGACACAGAACTCCGACGTCGCCGGAATCTTCTTGACGTGGAAAGAGCAGCCGGTGGTGTGGGCCAGTGCATGGAGACCTTGACCAGAACTAGTTGGATCACGAAAATGGACCGGTTCGGTTCGGTTCAATAACTTTTTGCACATGCCTGAAGATCGGGGGAGATTTCCGTTACCGTGTTTGGAAAGAAAAAAAGAAAAAAAGGAAGATAAATTAAATTATCCGATCGGAGTGGTTTTAATAGAATTGAGGCACATTTTAATTCTTGATTTGTCACTATTTCCCATTTATATGAACCTTTTTTCTTTTCATTATAGAAGCTCTTCGTGAATATGAATACAATGCACCATGCATAAAATATCGCTACAATAGGCTTTATATTTTATTTATTTTTATAAATATTTATTTTAGAGGATTATTCTTTCCTTCCATATATTACGTGAAAAAAAAAAAAAAAAAAGAGACCAGATTAGGATAACAAAAGTTCATTTCCCTTCTTATTCAACCCCAACCTTAGGCAACTATCAATTAAGATGTTTTAAATTGTATTCAAACCCCCAGCCCATATGTGTGTGCATTTAATATAGTTAAGTGGATTTGAAATAGAAGTCTCAAATTTAGGTTTGACTACCATTTTTATTTGGGTACTAAGGAAGTGCAATATTGTTGGACTGTATAGGAAAATGACCACTTTTATAGAAGAATCGTTATTAAAAAGAAAAGGACCCCCACAATCGTCACAATAGGAAGAAAAGAGAGGTCCAAATTTAGTAGTGGAGTTAGTGGAGCGAGATTTTGTGATAAGATGATATCAGGAAGCAAAATGGCATTAAGAAGCAAGCAAGCTAAATGATATTAAATTGAGGATTAAACAATCCAAATTGGAGGGTATGAAAAAGCAGGAGAAGGGTAAAAGAAGGCATCGGGTTTAGGGAACTTAGAGAGCCTGAGGAGGAGGCTTTGGAATCTTAGGACGGCCGGTGAGAGTTGAGTTGTCTTTAGGGGAATCTCTTGCACAGGTGTTGGCCCATTAGTAGTGGCACAAATGGGTTGTAGTGGCCCTCACCCTGTCTTTCAATTCTCTCTCTCTAAATTTATGTATTTCTTTTGGTTGGAAACTTTTGCAAAAGTCTAGGATCTTTCATATGGGAATTGACAGAGGAAGGGAGGAGGAGGGTGTTCTGGTCTGCTGTTCTTTATTTAAGCCATCAGTTTTCTTGCTTTTCCATTATGGCCCCCACTAAAGCAAAAAACCTCTTTTCCCAGTGACGCTGATGCTACTTTTGGCCCACAGAAGGTGGGAGGAGTGTTCGCTTTAAAATTACAAATTATGGAAGCAGAAACGTGAGTGCGTGTAAAAGATGGGCTACGTTTATCATACCTGAGCTCATGTTCAAGTTTTCAACCACTTAGCCTTGTATGAAGAGCGAGCGAGGATTACCAGCCACACAAATTACATGCTAAGTTCTGTTTCATCGTTGACACTCCAAGTCTTCGCTTCCCCCATCCCATCTTCTCTTCCAACACATTCTATAAAAGTTGATGTGGGCTGGTCCCTGTCGTGGTCTTAAGGCTGCGCCTTCCTTTAGACGGCCAATTGTTACTTTTCAGTTTTCACTTCATGGGACCGAACCAATAATCTTCTCGCCACGAAATTGAAAACTGGCTCTCCACCCACATGAATAGTTTGTCGTCTGTCAAAGGCCACGAGTCTTCTCATGGACTGTGCAGGCTGTGCTTCCTTTTTGGCCCAATATCCTCACTACAACCTACTTGACCAATTTAAGGCTCTACTGATTTAGCCACTCTTGGCTTCACTATTAATGGGCAACTTTCTTATAGGAAAAATGAGAGATAAAAGGAACATAATGTTTGTCTATTCAGTCACCATTGAAAGCTTACCAGTTTCGAAAATGTGGTACAACCATATAGGTTCAAGCAAAGTCTTGGCCTTATCTAATTCATGTCGTCCCTCTCCATTACATTGTTCTGTTTCCCTCTCTATATGAGGGTATCAACGTTGTAAAAAAGCCAACATCGTATTGCCCCACTCTCTGTCCTCAGCACTGTATAGGCTTCGGCAAACAAACTGTAGAAGTTCGAGTACCAGCCCAAAATCCTTTCTTTACAAGCCAATTTCTGAACCAACCATAAAAACCACCCCAACTGCATCCAAGATGTGGTGATCTCTTTTAAAAAATGTGACAAACATCTTCAGAAATTTCTTAAAAATGGAGAACTCATGTTCGTGGAAAGATCTGTCATCGTTGTCCTCCTCAGCGGAATCTTCACTCATGTCCAAAAGTTCAATCTTTGCAACCATTGATAACCATGCGGGAAAATAGAATTTGGTCTGCTCAACCACTGAGCTTTGGTATATCAGTTCCAAAATTAATGTGGCAAGGATAAGCAGACTTCTGTAGTATCAATGCCATGGCTTCGAACATAACATCCAATGCATCACAAGCCTGGAAAAACTTTATGGCCAGACCTCACTTCAGCTTGCTTTTCTATGTTTCCTGATAAACCACGACAATTAGTAATTAATTGCATGCACTCCTCAAGAAGACCCGTAAGACCATTAGGAGAGAACGAGGAAACAATGTTGAATAAAGAAGATCGAGCACGCCCAGATTCTGCTACAGAGACCAAGCATTTCAATTTTTCAGCGGTGAACAAATCTTTGAGATCGATCTTGTAACATGGCTCGCTTGAAATGCAGCCGCATAGGTATTTAGCTGAAAGAATTAAACCATCAATGTAATTTGCATCTAGCTCGGCAGAGGACGAAACCAAATTGATTAGTACTCGAACAAGTTCCACAATGGACTTAAGAGATGCCCCTTCTGAAGCAGCAAATTCAAAAAATCTTGCCTCTTCAATTGATACTTTGGTGGGAAAATACGATGACATCAGCAATCTAGTAATTTTCTTACTAATAATGGGTTGGTCATGTGCATGAACAGTCAACAATACATCTAAACTGACAACCTGCAGAAAGATTTGGGGATACATTATGGACACAACCCGCCTTTGCAGAAATTTTACTACAAAAATTAGTTATAGGATGCCCTGACCTTGTTAAACTGGAAATCACGAACATCCCTGATCAGGAGGAGGAGATCTGCTAGAGCTATCCTTAGTGAACGAGCATTGTCCAGCATCAAATGGCCCAACCTTCAACTGCTACAACTCTCACATCTGGACTTTCATCCATGAGAAGTTTCTCTATTAAAAAGAACTGTCTATCAAGCACTGTCTTTCAGCTCTTTTGTAGCATCTGGATTTTCGAGAGGAAATATATCCAAAAGTAGATGCAATGAATTTTGACGAACATTTGTATTTGCAACCTGGCAAGACATTCAGCAGGATGATAAGAGTCTCATACTAACTAAAGCTTAAATACATCCATAAGCAGGATCCCGAGCAAACTATACATGAGTGCTTATAGAAGTGCGGTCTATTAACTTATTGTTATCAAAGATTCACGAGCAAGATTATACGCTCACGGAAAAAAAATGTATATGCCACAAACCGACGACCATTCCCGGTTTTCAAATACAAAGGAGCAATAACGCAACGAATTAGCAGAAGTTTCAAATCTTCAATACTCTCACCTTTAAAATCAAAGAAAGAAAATGCCTCGCGAAGCATTTAAACCTTGTGCACATCCACCTACTTCTTTTGCGTCAACGATCGGGAGAGCAAGAAACGGAGTGACTGAGAGATCAGTGATTCTCGTCATGAATTATGATTTTTAGCGTGTGCTTTGATGACTTGAGACTTAGTTTTACAGCAGAGAAACTGAATTCGTCCGTCGAGGATTCAACAGAACGACGCAACTTCTTCTCCATAGCGAACAGACTACTACTTACTTTGCTTCGATATCCCTTTCTGCTATATTTGGAGTTGAAGTTCTTCCTTCATCTTCAAACAGAATCATCGGAAACCGAAACTAACGCCAAAACTGCTAATTCCTTCCATCCGGCAATGGAGGAGAATCGCTTCATTCTCTGTGCTTCAGAATTTGACGGCGTAAACGGAGAATTCGACTCCGATCGGCGGTTGCGTGTTCTTCTTACCAATCGTCACGGACGAACTTTTTCGCGCCCTTTTTTAAGTGATGGATCAGGACTAGGCCCAAGAACATCCGTTCCCAACATCTGTACACTCGGCCTGGCCCAGTATCAAGATTACATCGATATTTAAACTTTCGTTAATTAAGGGATAATTATAATTTTTCTATAAAAAAAAAAAGAAAAAAATGAAATTATAGTGACCGCTGAATTAGTTTGTAACGGTAGGTGGGTGTGACTCGAGACCTAAGCGCGTACATAGCTAACATAAAATGAAATTAAAGGATAAGAGAATGTCCGACGTGGATCTGCATCAGCACACAACATTTCCACGTCATTTCCATTTCCGTTCTCATCCCCCGAATCGCCACGTGTCGCGACGTCGATTTATTTTCTCCATTTTTCTTTTTCCATTCTCTAAATTTTATTAAATTCCATTTCTCCGGTTACCGCGTCCAAGATTTCCAGATCACCTATAAAAGGCTGTCCCTCTCTAGGTTTTAAGTTCCCTCTGTTAATCCATCCGTCTCTCTGTCCACTTTCTGGATTTTCTGCGTACGGCTACCGGCGGAGTCTTTATAATCGGTTTCTCGAAGCGTTTACGAAGGTCAAATCGGAAGGTCAGCAATCTCTCTACTATTTCATTACTCTCTATTGAAATCTAGACGTTACTAGGAGAATAGATTAAACTGTTTTACATTCGGTTTCGAATTTTCAATCTGGGGATGCTAAATTTTCGGGATTAGGGATTATTTACTTTGTTTTTGTTCTAGTTTGCTTCCTGCTTTTTATGCCAAATGAAGATTTATTGGATTGTCTGAACAGGAGAAAAATAGAGATAGGCTTGTTCTTTTTTTGTTTCCCATTTGCTTTAATCGTCCTGAATCTGAAGGATGGACTAGCTTTTCGTCATTTTCGGAGTCATATCGAGAATCCTTTTTTGATCCTTCTTCATGTTTTCAATTGTCTGAAATGCCATCAATTTTCTAGGATATATATATTCATTTTTAAGAATACTAGATTGAAAGAACCAGGAGATTATCTTTTATCTAGTCGAAGCGTGACTGTTTTGATTCTTTGGTAAAAATTTGGGCATCCAAAGGATTTATTTCAGTGTCAATCCAATTAAATTATTTAACGGGTTGGGATTTTTGTTCGAATTTGTTTTTAATTTGACTGTATCACTTTTTGGTTGGCACCATCTTGAACTCCTGGGAATTTCTATGATACTCGTTTACCGACAGTTGAACATGTCTTGATTATTCTATTTAATTTTGCTGACTCACAGGTTTGGAGTTTTTGAAAGTAAATTAATGGAGAATACAGAAAATATTTGCTTGGATTTAATCCCAGCCAAGGCAAATACCATCCCACTGCCACCTCCATTGCCCAAATCTGCAATCAGTAGTCATCTGCAGAAGGGTTGGGTCTCAAGTGAATCCTTAGAAAGAGGATACAGCTGCGTCTCCACTGCAACAAGAGACCTCTGGGACGGTCTCTTTGACGAAGCTTATGGAGCAGATGTTTCTATTCATACGGATCATGGTGGCATTGTGTATGCACATGCCAATATCCTCGTAAGTTATTTTAATCTCACCATTTCGTTCATAACCTAAAAGAAGTTTCCTGCAATTTTAATATCTCATTCAATGGAGATTTTGCTAAAAGATGTGCTGGTTAAAGATAAATCCATTTCTATTAAGAATAAAACTTGTCAAATTTTGCATTTGCTGACTGAAAAATATGAAGGTTATTGCCATGCTACATCCTAGTTCAATTAGTGATTCGATTATCTTCCTGTAATTTTTTTGCAGGGCATGGCTTCTCCTGTGATAAAAGGCATATTAAATCAATCAAAAAAGTCTGGTAGGAAGCGGTCGATTTCGATCCGTGGAGTTCCACCTGATGCTGTTAAAGTATTCATTAGATACCTGTACTCTTGCAGGTAAATGCTTTTCTTTTAGTGTTTTGCGATATGATCATTGACATGGATCATAGATTTCCGGCTTCAAATCCTTTTCTATTCAGACTTACAGAAATAAAACATCGGGTAGTGTTGATTTTGCAAATAATATACCTGCCAGTTCAATGCTTTTCTTGTACTGTTTAGTGATTCGATCATTGATTTCAGACTTCTAAACCCTTCTAATCAGACTTAAAGAAATAAAATTTTGGATTGCAGTGATTCTGCCAATAATATCCCGGAAGGTTTTTCTATGTACATCTAACCAATCAATTGTTTACTATGAGTAGAAGCATGTTATTGTAGGAAGAAAATATGAGTTTACTGGTTTAGTTTTGTTAGTTAATTAATTTAGTTAAATCATTAGTTTTCGCTAATTGACTTGCCAATTGGAATTTTCATGATCTTTGTGTGCCCACATTTAATTATGACAATAATAGGGACATTTTGAAACTCATGAATGGAACTATGAGTTTTTTCACCCCACTGGAAGTTGGATGTCATCTACCAAAATCCTGTGTGTTACATCGTAGGACATATGAATTTGGTTGTGTTTTCTGATTTATTTCAACATTTTATTTTAGATACGAGAAAGAACAAATGGAGGAATTTGTATTGCCCCTGCTGGTGCTGTCACATGTATATGTGGTTCCTCAGTTGAAGAAAGAGTGTGAGAGGCAACTGGGTCGTGAGTTGCTGACACTTGAAAATGTAGTAGATGTGTTTCAACTTGCATTACTGTGTGATGCTCCCCGTCTCAGCCTTCTTTGCCACCGTATGATCCTAAAAAACTTCAAAGCTGTTTCTTCCACCGACTCGTGGCAAGCAATGCAGCAAAGCCACCCAGTACTCGAAAAGGAACTTCTTGGATCAGTGATCGACGAAGACAATGTAACACATCTCTCTTTCTCTCTGTGTTCTTTTCTCCTCAAATCAAATGGTGTCGGACTCTGTAAAGAGCTTAGTCTCTGCTGGCCTTTCTCTAAACTGATCTTTCAAATTTTACTTTCAGAGGCAAAAGAAAAGAGTGAAGAGAATGAACGAAAGGAAGGTCTATTTGGAACTATTTGAGGCAATGGAGGCTCTTGTTCATATATGTAGAGATGGTTGTCGCACAATCGGCCCACACGACAAAGACTTCAAGGCAAACCAGCCGCCATGTAAGTATGCAGCCTGCAAGGGGCTGGAATTGCTTATCCGCCACTTTGCAGGCTGCAAATTAAGAGCCCCTGGTGGCTGTACCCAGTGCAAGAGAATGTGGCAACTGTTGGAGTTGCACTCTCATCTTTGTGCAGATTCTGATCTCTGTAGAGTCCCTTTGTGCAGGTAATTTATCAAAATCCGTCTCCTTTTTTCCATTCTCCTTTGCCTTCAGCTCTTGTTAATCATCAATCAAGTCGAATTCAACTTACGAGGATGTTCCGTGATTTCAGGAATTTCAAGGACAGGACTAGGAAACAGGGCAGGAAAAATGAAATAAAATGGAAACTGTTAGTAAAAAAGATTCTGAGGACAAAGGGAGTAGCAAGAGCACCATTCTTTTTGACGATAGATACCATATATGTATGAGGGCCAAACAAAACTTGTATGTTTTTGTATAATCAAATTCAATCTGTAAATTTTTTTTATTCAACAGCATCATTCTTTGTGTACAATACAGATCAAGAGATGAAATCAAATTTTACTTCGTACTGTTTTAGAGACCAAAAGCCGTTCTAAAACGAGCCAGGTTGGTGCGAGATGCTACGAACCCAACTGGAGCCCAACTTTGGAAATGGGTTCCATGTTAGTTGAAGCCACAAACAGGAAAGACAGATGAATGGGCCGTGTAAGTTGGTTTTGGAAGAAGAAGAAGAAGAAGAAAACAAAATTTTTACAAAAGGAATAATAATAAAAAAAAAAAGAACAATGAGGGAATTGGCAATAATTATTAAACAGCAAAGCGAAAGGGGAAGAGGGCATGATGGAAAGTTGAAAAAGAAGGGAGTGAGAAGGAAGAGAACAGCGAAAGAGACGCATGTTTTGTAATTTTGTGTTTTGTTGTTTATAAATTATAATTAAATGCCCATCCAATCCAATTCTATCCACACATCTTTTTTTTTCTTCATATTTTACACCCACACCCACACTCTCTACCTTAACCTTATTTCATTTCTTAATTCTACTCAATTTAAACTATATAACTTAGTCGGAGTTGACTTGGATCACAACCTCGTTTTTATAGAGAATTGATGTTATAATACATTTGTTGCATTAATATTTTTTTTTAATGTTCAATGTGATGTGATGAACCACTTGGTAAAAAATATACGCCTTTATAACTCAAAGTTGAAGTGGGTGTATCTATTTATATTCATTAAGTTATAATATATACTTTTAAAGTATGTACACCAAAAGATAATAATGAGCACAATCATAATGGAGGGAAGTGGAGATGTGACTATAAATTCATAAACCCATTAACCAAAAAGTAATATTATTATTTATGTCGTGTGCTACTTTCATTCGTTTTTTAAATTTATGTGCAACATTTACTCTCGCTCTTAAGCAAGTCACCACGATTAGTATGTTTCATAGCCTATACCTCTACTTTCTTAAAAACATTTCTAAAAAATGAAGTTGGTGAAAGTTATACTGTTCTAGAACATATAATTCGAAGATAATATCAACACCGATAATAGAAAGATTTAACAACTAATCATATTTAAAATTATGGACAAGAAGGAGTGGGACACCATGCACCTCTCTTTTTCCCTTTAATTCATCTCTTTCTCTTCCCTTCCAATCCTAAAGAATAATAATAATTAAAAAAGAAAAGGGTTTTCCCAATGCGTTCAATGTGATTTGAAGATGGATGCATGGTGCACTTGTGAGACAGAATAGAATAATATATATAAAGACACCATGCATCCATGTTCATCACTCTCCTTCATACTTCAAAACCTCATCAATTTCAACCCTTCATCCTTCTCCATCTCCTCCTCCTCTCATATATCATAACGGGTTAGATTATCAATTACTCATCATCAGTCTCTATTATTTTAACTGTAATAGTTTAAGTATTCGTTTTAGTCTTTACATATCGTCGCTAGTCTCACAATTTTAAAACGCGTCAACTAGAGAAAAAATTTCACACTTTTATAAAGAATGTTTCGTTTTCGTTAATAGAAAAAAAAATGAGGGTCTTGAGCTGGGAGAGGGTAGGGTACCAAAAATGAAGGGAATGTGTTGAGCATGTGAATGGGTAATGATGATTATTACTGATGCCCACATTGAGATGAGGCCTTTCCTTTTCAGCTGCGGATTTGGAAGTGTTTTGGTGAGTTGTTTTTATGTACCAAAATTCTGCTGAAATCCAGGCTTTATTTGGGTTCAGCTACCAACACCACATATAAGATTAAAGCCACCACCACCACCACCCACCAATTCTTCTTCTGCTCTCTCAGATTATGCCCAACACACCACCTTAGTGCCTGCCTTTCCGTACCCACTTTCTCATTTCATCACAAATTTGATAAGGATAATTCGTATCCATAGAGATTAATTATATATGAACCCGATACTTCATAATTAACAATAAAAATATGTTTAAAATTTTTTAATTATCTCATAGCGACTATAACAACTCAAGGCCACTGCTAAGAAATATGGTATGTTTTTGCTCATCACAATTTTAAAACGTGTTTATCAGAGATAATTTTTTTACACTCTATAAGGAATGTTTTGTTTCTCCACAATTGATGCATGGTCTTTGGATCCTCTATTTAAAATAATCAAGTGGATAATATTAGGTGTTTTTTTTTTATCACTTTTAATTCACAAATTTTATTTAATTATATTTAACATATTCTTATTTTAATCGAAAATATAATGTCTCCATCATTTTCATTAAACTCGAACACAATTAAATTTCCACATCTACAATTTATACTCATTCACAATTTTAATTTAATGGAAGAGCTCAGTAATTTTCTTGTTTGTTAAACTATATTGTAAACACACATCGAGAAATATATAAATATATTAAGGTAAGGTTAGACAGATGTTACAAAAATCACATGATATTTGAGTAAGGCACATGATTTTCATTTGCACACGACAAATTTGTAAATCTTCTAAATTTAGGTGACATGAATTTCATTAAGATTCTAAATGTCTAAATGAACACCAACTACCTAATTATTTATTTTTCTTTTTTTTTAAAATATGACAGTAAATTTATTATAATTTTGAAAGCATTCGAAAACCATCCTTCAAAAAATTAAGTTTAATTAAATCTCGACAATAATCTTCATCAATAGTTTTTAATTATTATTATTATTAATAATATTAAATATAATTATTAAACTTTTCGTATTTTGCATGGATCCTACATAATGTCACTTTTCCATGTGCATCATATGGGAAAACACCAAAAAAAGACATTGCAGGCAAGTGGGTTTGATTCTCAAAAGCAGAGACCAATTTTTGTGATAATCAAATTAATATTATTTTTTTTAGGAAAAAAACATAAAAATATATATATATTTTTTTAAATTTTTTTCAAAAGTAAATCATCTTTCCATGAAAAAATAACATTTGGATGTATTAAAAGAAATTATTTTATTTTCATGGACGCTAAACCTAAACCCTAAAACTAAAGGTTTATTATTAATTTTAATGAATAAAATAAATTAAAAAGTAGATTAAGAAAAGGGTCGAAATTCGACCATCTCGAAGAGGAAGATAAGGTTCATAATTTAAATTTGCAGAGACCTTATAATTTAAAATTGTCTTTTTTTTTTTTTATATTACAGAAAAAAATGAATACAAAATCTTGAAGGTAATGATGGGAAGCAATGGGGGTATCATTCATTGAATCTGCATTTGAGGTTCATAAATATTATTTTATATTTTCATCATTCCCTCCCCCAATCTTTTCTTATTTCTAATTCCCACCCTCTTCCTCTCCCCCATGCGTTCTCGAAATTACTTTAATATCCTTAATGTTTAATAAAAATTACTTATTTAAAGGTTGATGTAAATAATTAATTGAATTTAGTGAGTAAATTTGTGATTAGAGAAAGTAATAATGAATGGGGTTTTTTTTTTTTTAGGGAAAGAAAAAGAGGAAGGAACAAAAGAATCTACTTTTCCTTTTTCTTCTCTGTGCGACAAAATAATAAAAACAGAGGAAGAAAAAGGAGGGAGATATGATGAAAGGGGAGAAGAAGGGGGTCGTTTTCTGGTATAACAGTGGGGTGTTGTTTACTTTGGGTGAACATATTCGCACAAAGACATGCACCAAGACGAAACTGATAGGGGCGACTCAGCTGGTTGTAGTCGCCCAAGGGGGCAGCAAAGTTATGGGTGTCAGATTAGCGTGCTATTTTTATTGTTCAAAAGCTAAGAGTGGGGGCCTCATGCGTCTCTTCGCTTCTCTTCTCTTCTCAAAAACCCCATTTCCATCGCCCAAAGATTTCTCGGTGGTGGGGGCGGTGGTGCTGATTCAGAGGGAGAAGGAGGGGTTCCCCTGAGACTTGATATATAGAGAGAGAAAGAAAAGGGAACATTCTGAGGTTGGCCTTTTGTGTTTGTGTGGCTGTGGTGGCTGTCAAAGATGGGGCACAGCTCATATCTTTGATGGGTGCTCCTTTACTTTACTTTTTGCTGCTTTCCTTCTTTCTTTTGTGTCTGTGTGGGGTTGTTTGAGGGTTGGAGTGCTCGCTTCTGTGAACATTGTTTCTGATTGTTGTGCCCATCGATATTTGATTCTTCGTGTTTGCCAAAGCGAAAAAGGAAACCCCAAACACCTCCTCTCATCCCTCTCTTCTTCTTTTTTTAACTTTTATCTTCTTACTGTTTGCTTTCTTCTGCTTGATTCCTTCTTTCTCCCTTACCCATTTCCCCCTTTTGTTTTCTTTTCCGGAATTTCTCCAAATCCACCCACCTTCTTCCCCTCTCACTTCTTTAGTAACTGTTCCTTATTTTTATGTCTTGCATTCGTTGCACCTCTGAAATATCTTGATTCGACGTGTTTCAAAAGGTTTAACCAAAGGATCCATGTGATTCTCTTCATTTCTTCTTCTCAATCCAAACAACTTGGGTGTGCGAACTTACAACGGATATTTGTATTTGCAGTTTCAGGTGTTGTTGAGCTTTCAAATCCAAGACAGTGGGCTGGGACTTTTGAGTTGTGCGGCTCTACGGACTGGAAAGGATTTTAGGTATTTGACCCATTGGAAAGTGAAGTAAAATAAGAAAGAACCCAACAGGGAAAACGAAATCTAGAAGGGAAGGATAAAGAAATAAAGGAAAGGACGGTGGTGTCAGGTATTAGCAAGTGGGGGTGTCTCCAGCTTTGCGAGTTATATACGTTTTAACGGTGTTTTCTTAGTAATGTCATACCCATTCGACCCTCTATCCCCGGGGTCCTTGGGGAGTGTTACTCACTGAGGAAGCAATCTTTTGTTTACTACTTTTTCAGTTTCAGGCTGTGTATATTTCATTAAAGTATCAAAACCCTTTCTGCTTCTCCCTTTGTTTGTTCTAAAGATTCGGTCACACTAGGGAAACCCTCCCCCCCCCAGATTTGCCCACTCCCTTTTCACAATAAGAGATCGGGTCAATTTTTGGTGTGTCCTTCCACTTCTGTGGCTTGTCTTCTACTTCTTTGGATATATTCTTTCTGGGTATTTTTTTGGATTGACATAGACAATCTTGAAGAAGAGGAAGAAAACAGATACTCAGATCCGTTTTCTTCACCAAAAACATGAAGTTTATGAAACTTGGATCCAAGCCCGATGCATTCCAGACTGATGGGGACAAAATTAGGTGAGACATATTTCCTTTTTAGTTGCCTTCGATGTGCTTTTTGTTCTCCATTCCCTCCTCCTTATGCTGCTGATGCTATCATAAGTTTATATGTTCATCAAATGAATGCAACTGCCACTTTCATGAACTAGACACCACAGGAACTTATGGTGTTGATTTATTCATTCTTTTGTGTTTGCTAATTCCCATTACTTATTTTTATAAGGTATAAGGTGTGGAAACTTCTCTTCTAGTAGACCGGTTCTAAAACTGTGAGGTTGACGGCGATACGTAA